CCAAAAATCAACCTGAAACTGCCAAAAATCCACCTGGGATTGCCAAAAATCCACCCTGAAATAGGCAAAAATCACCCTGGGAATCCAAAAATCAGAAAAAAACGGCCAAAAATCCACCTGGGATAGGCAAAAATCCACCTGGAAACCCAAAAATCCACCTGGGATAACCAAAAATCCACCCGGGATAGGCAAAAATCACCCTGGGAACCCAAAAATCCACCTGGGAACCCAAAAATCCACCCGGGATAGGCAAAAATCACCCTGGGAACCCAAAAATCCACCTGGGATAGGCAAAAATCAACCTGAAACTGCCAAAAATCTACCTGGGAACACAAAAATCCACCTGGGAACGGCAAAAATCCACCTGGGATTGCCAAAAATCACCCTGGGAACCCAAAAATCACCCTGAAACTGCCAAAAATCCACCTGGGATTGCCAAAAATCACCCTGGGACAGGCAAAAATCCATCTGGGAACCCAAAAATCCACCTGGGATAGGCAAAAATCCACCTGGGAACACAAAAATCCACCTGGGATAGGCAAAAATCCACCTGGGATTGCCAAAAATCACCCTGGGACAGGCAAAAATCCACCTGGGAACACAAAAATCCACCTGGGAACCCAAAAATCCACCTGGGACTGCCAAAAATCCACCTGGGATTGCCAAAAATCCACCTGGGATTGCCAAAAATCACCCTGGGACAGGCAAAAATCCACCTGGGATAGGCAAAAATCCACCTGGGACCCCAAAAATCCACCTGGGACCCCAAAAATCCACCTGGGAACCCAAAAATCCACCTGAAACTGCCAAAAATCCACCTGGGAACCCAAAAATCACCCTGAAACTGCCAAAAATCCACCCTGAAATAGCCAAAAATCCACCTGGGAACCCAAAAATCCACCTGGGATAGGCAAAAATCACCCTGGGAACCCAAAAATCAACCTGAAACTGCCAAAAATCCACCCGGGATAGGCAAAAATCACCCTGGGAACCCAAAAATCCACCCTGAAATAGCCAAAAATCACCCTGGGAATCCAAAAATCAACCTGAAACTGCCAAAAATCCACCCTGAAATAGCCAAAAATCACCCTGGGAATCCAAAAATCCACCTGGGACCCCAAAAATCCACCCTGAAATAGGCAAAAATCACCCTGGGAATCCAAAAATCCACCTGGGAACCCAAAAATCCACCTGGGATAGGCAAAAATCCACCCTGAAATAGGCAAAATCACCCTGAAGTACCCAAATTCACTCTGAAATACCCAAAATTTACCCTGAGATACCCAAAAATCACCCTGGCAGCCCCAAATTCCCCTCAAAAACCCCAAATTCCCCCCAAAA